AAAAGCAGATGTACAGTGGTCGGCCAGCCAAAAATGCTATTTGACCAAAAAGATGGCCGGTCGACCACAAAGAGTGCCGGTCGGCCAAACATTTGGCCGATGGCAACAAACCAATGGTCGGTAGCCTCAAGCCATGGCCGGTGAGGTGTGGGGATGGCCAACAAGCCATTCCCTACCCTCCAAAGCAAAAACACAAGTGTTTGGTGCAAAACCAGACACAAAACAGTCGAGTTGAGAGATCCTGAGGCAAGACGCGTAGCCGAGACCTCCGGGAACTCAAGACGAACACAAACAAGGATGATCACTGAGTGTTCAAACGGTGACGTTCAAATCTTGAGGACGGTCAAAAATAGGGTGTCTACAGTTGCCCCTCTTTGACAGAACTTGAAAGTCATAAGAATGACGGGGGTGAGTGTCAAAGCCCAGAGACGACCCATTTTTGACAAGGTCGAAGACTTAGACAAACATGCAAGACAATAAAGATATGGGCCCGAAGGCAGGGGCGAAATGCAACTGAAAATGCAAGAAGCCGAGCATAACTTATGATCATACAAAGAAAGTTGTAACGAAGCACATACAATGCAACAGTTTTAAGCTAGCACAAACCAAACTATACTACAATGTAGAGAGGGTGCAAGAGAATTATGCAATTCTCGATACGTCTCACTCGGAGGATACAATACCTGTGCGGCTCGTCTGGTTGCACCAGCTTCAAATGAACTGTACATACAATATCGTGCCTGAAAGAGAAAGAAAACTCAACGGGTACAATATCGTTAGCAACATGCATAACAATGCAATTGAAAGTTGCGCGACAACGCGAATGTAGGATTTAAGGTCTCCTTAGACCAAGGGGTGCACAAATAGTGCGGTGATATGCAATTGAATCTAATGTAATGCAAATGATATGCAAAATTACAAAACAAATGTAAAAACAATGCAAATAATATGCATGCAATTGAACTAAGCAATGCAAATGATATGCAATGCATCTCGGATGATCAAACCATAAGCAGTTCAAAACCACACAAATATCATAAAGATGATGGAGATGCAAAGTTCGTCTACCATAGAAAAGGTGCCGATACCCTCAAACCGCAATACCAACAGTGGAATAGGCGCGTATACATGCAGAACTATGAGTGTGTAGACGGAACACAAGAACAAGTAATTGGGTGGAATGACATAAGTGAGGCATGCTCTGCTCAGAAAAGATTATGATCCTAATGCTGGATGCAATCGAACTACATTACAATGCAGTACATACAGTGGATATGGTGCGCGACCGAAACATATCTTGCCTAGGAAAGACATGTACACATGCAAACCGCGTCTAACATAGAAACGGTGCCGCAACCCTCAAACCACAATACCAGCAGTGGAATAGGCGCGTACACAAAAGTCCCAGATCCGTGCTTCGACGTGAAAAGTATGGGCACATACCAGACCAAGCTCAACATGGAAAGGCGCAAGCCATAGCTGGATGTGATGCGGCAAATGCATGCAAGCTACAATGTAACATATACAAATATGCAATGGAATGGAATATTTACAATGGATAAGGCCTGCGGCCCAAACTGTATCTTGCCTAGGAAAAGCATAGACACAAACAAGCCACGTCTAACAGAGAAAAGGTGCCGCAACCCTCAAACCACAATACCAGCAGTGGAATAGGCGCGTACACATACAGAACTATGCTTCGACGTGAAAAGTATAGGTACATACCAGACCATGCTCAACATGGAAAGGCGCAAGCCATAAATGGAAGTGATGCAGTGAATGCATGCAAGCTACAATGCAATATTTACAAATATGCGATGGAATGGAATATTTACAATGGATAAGGCTTGCGGCCCAAACCGTATCTTGCCTAGGAAAAGCATGGACACAAACAAGCCACGTCTAACACAGAAAAGGTGCCGCAACCCTCAAACCACAATACCAGCAGTGGAATAGGTGCGTACACATGCAGAACTATGCTTCGACGTGAAAAGTATGGGTACATACCAGACCAAGCTCAACATGGAAAGGCACAAGCCATAGCTGGATGTGATGCTGAAAATGCATGCAAGCTACAATGTAACATATACAAATATGCAATGGAATGGAATATTTACAATGGATAAGGCCTGCGGCCCAAACCGTTTGCCTAGGAAAAGCATGGACACAAACAAGGCACGTCTAACACAGAAAAGGTGTCGCAACCCTCAAACCACAATACCAGCAGTGGAATAGGCGCGTACACGTGCAGAACTATGCTTCGACGTGAAAAGTATGGGTACATACCAGACCAAGCTCAACATGGAAAGGCGCAAGCCATAGATGGGGGTGATGCAGTGAATGCATGCAAGCTACAATACAATATTTACAAATATGCGATGGAATGGAATATATACAGTAAAATGCATGACATATGCAATATTTACAGTGATGCATGACATATGCACTATTTACAGTAGTATGCATGACATATGCACTATTTACAGTGATGCACGACATATGCACTATTTACAATGATGCATGACATATGCACTATTTACAGTGAAATGCACGACATATGCATGTTTGTTTTTTGTTTTGTTTTTTGAATGCATGACAATGCATGATGAAGGGAAAATGCATGTTTTTTTTTTGTGTTTTTGTTTTTGAAATGCAAATGATGCATGTTGTTTTTGTTGTTTTCTTTTTTTTTGAAATGCAAATGCATGATGATGCATGATTTTGAAACGCGCGACAACGCGCGACTTTTGAGATGCATGACAATGCAAATGATCTTGGAATGCGCAAAAACGCGCGGCTTTTGAAATGCATGTGAACTCGAATATGCGACGACGCGCGTCGCTTGAAATGCATGGTAATGCATGTGGACTCGAATGTGCGACAACGCGTGTTGCTTGAGATGCATGATAATGCATGTGGACTCGAATGCGCGACAACGCGTGTCGCTTGAGATGCGTGATAATGCATGTGAGCAGTGCACATCAATGCAAGTTGTGCTTGTTACGACGTGTGTGTGCATGCAAAAACCAAAGGTCTTGCATCTTTAGAGGGTTTAAGGTCTCCTAGACCGAGTTTGTTTAAGGTCTCACCAGATCATTGCGAGGTGCATACAATGCAAGCATAATGACGTATAACCCAACGAGCGTTCACGTCAAAGCGTTGTAAAGCAATGCATGTAAGGTGCGTATGACAACGCGTGATGAGGATCATGCATGACAATGTAGACCGACGGATTTAAGGTCTCTCAGACTGAGCGGGTTTAAGGTCTCGCCAGACCGCAGCTGGGGTGCAAAACAATGCGAGTTGTGTGCATGATAATGCGTGTAAACATGCATAACAATGCAATGTATCTGAAGTAGTTCCCAAACCTTTGCAAGGTACAAAAAGGATACGAAAAGGATACACCTTGCACGTATTTGAGGATCGCGCACAGAAGACACGGCCTGAGGTCAAAACGGAGACCGGTTAGGCTTCGAAAATGCCTTCTCTTGCACTTTCTTGAGCAATTGAGGCCCCAAACCACACATATCACCCAACAAGGTTGTAGGAGGCTCACCGGCCATCAGGGGAGGTCACCGGCCATCCACCGGCCACAAAAATAGTCCACCAGCCAAATATTTGGCCGACCGGCCAATAGTGCCTGAATCGGGGTAGTTTGGTCTTTTGGTCTCGGGTCTTTTAAAATAAGGCTTCTAGCCCTATTTTCTTCACTTCCTCTTGTTCGAAATCTCACCCTCTCTCTCTAGATCATTTTCCTCCCTTCATTCTCCCGTTTTCCTCGGTTTTAGGGCCCATTTCGTCATTCGATTCACGAATACCTTTGCGTTTCGAACGTTTTGAATCGAACGAAAATTTGTTTCGGTGTCTCTTTCTTGATTTTCACCACTCGGGGCTTGTTTCCCTCGGGTTTCTCTTGATTTCCGTGCCTTTTCCACACTTCAACTTTTTCGGCCATTTTTTGCCCTCCCGGGGTTGACTTTCTGTTGACCTTTCGCATTCTAGCCCGGTTTTCCCTCTTCCGGCCATTTTCACACTACTCTTGGCATGGCAGACGATCTTCCACAGGGCAAGACTCTCCCAGAGCATGAGATGGATCCCGAGGCCGAGCTCTTGCCCTTGAGCGTCCGTTCGTTCGACCCGGCGACCTACCGGCCAGCGATTCACGTGCTTCCTCCTGACGGACTTCGCCAGTTCTGGAGTTTTAACAGGACGATGCCTCTAGAGGTTTTCCTGTGCGAGCCGGAGTCACATCTATCATACGGCGCGTCCGAGGTATATTCTTTCCCGTTTCATTTTCGCAATGTAGAACACTTAACTGCCATAGTTGATTCTGTTCTTTAACTGCTTAGCCCGGATACACCGATACACCGTATACTGTAGTTGACTGTGAACACACTTGCACCTGGTATCTATTCGAACTTGAAAATGTGCGCACACGTTGTATCTGTACTGACCCACTCAAACACGCTGACACTTCACATGTTGTAGTTTACTGCAAGCACACCGGCACCCGATGTTTGTTTGAACTTGAGAACGTGCACATACGCTATATTGTCACCAATTCTGAATATTGTTCAAAACTGTATATTGAATACTGCTTCGCAACTGTTGTTTTTGAATACAGGGGGATTCCCATACCTGCCGGGGGTATGGGAATGTCATGGCCCATGGATGATATATGGAGCTACTGGACGCGGTCCGCCATATCGTAGACCAGGCTGGCTTCGGCGCCTTCTGCAAGGGACTTTCCAGACTTACCGCGAGCAGGCCTCTGCTTGCCGCTGTGGTGGAGAGGTGGTGGGACACCACCGATTCCTTCCACTTTTCCGCCACGGGAGATATGACGATGACTCCCTATGACTTCTCGATGCTCACCGGCATCGGGGTAGGGGGTGATCCGATCCCCTTTGACACAGACATGGATGAGTGGGAGGCCGCTCAGATGTACTTGCTTGGCGACCTACCGCCTCTTGCTCGTCCAGGCTTCATCAGATACTCGTGGTTCGAGGACCACTTCAGGATTTAACCAGCCTTAGCTGAGGAGGCTCTGATGACTCAGGAGGAGGTGGAGCAGTATGCGCGCGGCTTCCTTATGGTCTTACTGGGGACGACCATCTTCGTCGACCGGGCAAACACTGTGCCCCTCTGTTTGTTGAGCGCTCTGGTGGACGTGACCAGGATCCTGCGCTATGACTGGAGTAGGGCAGCCTTGGCCACACTCTATGGGTACATGAGCTCATCCTCTCGATGCAGCGGGCAGTTGCTCGGAGGCTACTGGCGAGCTTGGGAGGTACATCTTCTTCCTCTTTTTTACATTTCTGTTCTACATTACCTGTATTCTATACACAGCACACACTGCGGTCTGCCTCACACTGGCCGTATACTGCACACACGGTACACATATAATCTGCTTTACACTGACTGTACACTGCACACACTGTACATTCTGCACAATCTACTGCACAACACACGGTTTTACCATTTTTGCTTTATTCTGCATTCTGCTTTATCTGATAAGCGTACTAATATTTGCCCTACAGTTGTGGGTCTACGTCTACTTCCCAGGCTTGAGCCAGTGCTTGACGTGGAGACTCCTCTTGGCGTTCCATTCTCCCGACGCTTCGACGTGAGGTGTGTGCGGAGACCCTGGGAGACGTTCATATTCTTCCGCCGCTACTTCGACACCATCACCCCCGCAGAGGTATGTTCAACTTTAGAGTTTATTTCAGCTTTGCTTTGCACTGTATTTTCAATAACAGTAGATAACAGACTGCATTTCGCTTACAGATCACTTGGCAGCCTTGGGCTCCATTGTCAGTCGGGATTCGGGAGTGATTTTCCAATACGGAGGAGATTGCCCTCTTCAGGCTTCTATTGGAGGGCCCTGTCTGTCGGGCCTGGTACCTGGGTGAGCGCTTCTTGCACCAGACCCTAGGTTTGTCAGAGCAGATAGTCTCGGTTCACCCTCCTGACCATATGAGGGACACCGAGAGGTTCGCTCCCGAGTAGATGGCCGATTACACGATCGGCTGGGACTCGATACGCTTCAGAGGCATAGGCGACTACACGGAGTACGTCCGGACCTACATCATGCGGCCTTTGAGCAGTGGCCGTCGAGCTTAGAGAGAGAGGCCTGCGGCGCCGGTAGCTAGAGCAGGAGCGGGAGCACCGAGAGTGGCTTGGGTCCGTGGCAGGAGTGGAGCTCGGAGAGGATGGAGGGCTAGTTGGCCAGCACTGCCCACGATGATGACATGCCGAGGGCAGGGTGGGGAGACCTATCAGATCCCCTTCGCTCCCCCTCTGGCTCATCACGAGTTACTCGGGTTCTACGACTTGCCCCCGGTATGTACTATTGCATTCTTCATCTTGCATTGTCATTTCGTTTTGTTCTTCTTGATATTCCGCAGAATACTGATACTTCTAACACTTTTGCAGGCTTCTTTCGAGTACACTCGTCAGTCCCTGGAGTTGAATGCCTCTATGATGGGGATGTTACAGCGGAGCTTCAACCTGCTGGCCATCTACAGTATTCCGGTATGTTCTTCTAACCACAGTCTCAAACCATACATAAACTGTTTCACATAATCTGATGCATCGCGCTGTCAACACAACGCTCGATACGCGGCCTTCACGGCATCTGATACACTGTAGCCCACAGACTGTTCATAGCATTACTCACGACATTCATACACTGCACTCAGTCACTACATTCTGTATCGACACACTGTTCACAACATTCATACATTGTACTCACACACTATATTCGGCATTCATACCCTGCTTTACATAGCATACTGATGCGTTTGCCATTTGTACATTTTTAGCCTCCATTCCAGATGTCGGCCGCAGGATGTGCTCCAGCTGGGCCTTCTGTTCCCACTCGAGGAGGAGGGCGAGGTGGCACAGTATTCCCCCGCACCAAAGTAGGACGCACTCATGTCGGGAGTAGCTCTTGGGCACCAGTTCCTGATGATGACGAGTCCGAGGCGGAGACGGAGACGGAGACGGAGGCAGAGGCGGAGGCGGAGGCGGAGTCGTCTGAGGAGGAGACTAGAGATGGCTCGGACTCAGATGACGGTGTTGATGACGATGCTCCTGGACCTTCGTCCAGGAAGAGGACGAGGCAGACCCGTAGGCTTGAGACCACTGATGCTGATCTAGATTTCTGCTGCTTTTCTTCTTTTTGTTTTGCTTGTCCTTTTGTTGGTAGCTTGAGTACCTTGTACCGCCGCAGGCAGGTTTTTGTTTTCTCCAAAACTTTGTACTTGAAAAGATGATGAAATGACACAAAATTTTTATCTGAAAAAGTGTTACATTGATACATTTCATACACTGCATCGCATTGCATCATATTACACCTCAATATAAATGAGATTGATTTCCTGTCTGAAAAATCAAACACTTGTATTGTAATAACCAGATAATGGATCGGCCAACAGCAAAACAACTCAAACAAACCACTGTCCATTTTGAACACTCAGCTCGTAACACAGTGCTTGGTTTAATCTGCATACAGCCCACACAGCTCACAACTGATTCTGAACATTGCTCATTCTGAACTCTACTCATTCTAAACTTCATAGCCCATAACACAGTATTCTTAGTTCATTCTACACGCGGCGAAAACAGTTTGAATCTAAAAAGACGGAATACAAAGGTAGAATCGGTAGAAGCTGAAACACACTCAGATGCAATCCGGAACCCACATGTTCACTGTTTCCAAGTGACCCGGGTTGAACCCCTGTGGTTTTACAAAAGAACCAAACCTGTTTTGCAGAAATGTGGAGAATGGCACAGCACTCTGAGCACAAAACAATTTGAGAAAAAGGGTTTTCAACCGGGTATTGAGCCTACGACTGAACACAGTGAAAAAGACTCAATAACGAAAAACAAAAGGTAAACAACCTAAACACAATGAGACACGCTCGGAACTGACTCAAAGCAAGAGTTAAGGTAAACAAAACAAAAGACACGACACACAGACGCGTTATAAAAATGAGAGACTTTTCAGATCACGAGGAGCCAGTTTCTCCGGGTATTATTTCCTATCCTCTTCCCATTTGTGATTCTCACACCACTCGGCCCTCAGGCTCGGTTTTTCTCTCAAAACCCCTTTTGCTCACTTTTCTCTCGACTTACACCTCTCTATTCTTCACTCTCTCATTCTTCATCCCTCCCCAGATATGGTCGGTGAATAAACAAGAGGTTGTGGGTTCATGCCCAACACTGATAGCTTACAGCTATTCCCTCCGGTGACGTCTAGTCGATGTTCTTGATAAGGGAGTGGAGTATCTTGATCCATTCTGGTTCGTGCTTCGTACTTGGCTCGATACCTCATTGCTCGGAGGTTAAGAGAGCCTTCAGCCCTTTGTTGACAGCTTCAGCTGTGCCCTTTTGGCATGTAGAGTGCCCTTCTTGGCAAGTATGTTAAAAATGAGGGAAAGACAGGAAGCCTGACTCAACTGTGCCCCTAGTGCATTATTTTGACCATTTTTGTTTTTGGCTTTCTACTAAAACAATTTTGACCAAGATGAGACTTAGATTAACATGCTTGTTCAATTTTTGATTTGAAATCATGCAAGTTAGGCTATAAGCACTGAAAATTTTCCTTTTTTGGGTCCAAGAAAATGGTCCAGTTTTGGAAAGTGAAATAATTTTTGAGAGAATAGTCAACCTCAGTAAAAAAATTCTCAAAAATCATTTTGGGAAACAGCCAGTGCTCAACGAGCATGAAACTTACTCTCGAGATGTACAAGGATCGGAGGCAATGGAAAATTGCCCCTTGTTCCAAAGGGCACAACATGGCAACGAAAAGTTTCCCCTTGTGTGGATAACGCCGCAGCATACTGTAGTCAGTCCTCATTAGTGATGATCGCAACCGAACTCTTGGATACAGAGAATTCGAAGATGGTCAAAACAAATATATGGACACAGTCACTTTGAAAGTGCGTGGGGCTGGACTTCAGGATGAAGTTGCCTACGTATCCCAAACATGGGAATCAAGCCTTACGTAGTTTCGGTTAAGGTACACTCGTGTATTAACCCTCATTTTTTTTATGCTCTAACTTTTAGCAAGACCGCCCTTTGCGGGTTTTCAACCTTGCGAGCTTTGTTCTTCTTTTCTTTTCCATTCTTTTGTATTTTCTTTTTCTTTTTCATCTTTTCTTTTCATTTTCTTCATTTTTTTTCTTTTCTTTTGCATCTTCTTTTTTTGTATTTTTCTCTTGCTCTAACTTTTGCTTGGGTTGCCCTTCCGGGTTTTCGGCCCAGCGAGCCTCTCAAAGGGTAAAAGTGTAACAAGTCCATGCCAAATGGTTTTAGGGTTTCAAAGCCATTCGTATCCAGGAGGGCGGCTGTTGTATTGACTTGCAGAAGGATCCATCTTCGGCCCTTCGAGCACATCGGACATTTTTGCCCCTAGTCCGAGGGGTGCCTATGTTCTAGCTTCGCAAGCTTCTTCTGATGAGGCCCGATCTTCTTGATCTGACTTTCTTGGCCTCTCGTTCGAGGGTTGCTTCAAATTTGGCCACGCAGGCTTCATGTTGTAGTTGACCGTTGAACCTTCTGAACTAAGGTCTAAGATTTGAAAGCAAGGGCTCAAGTCTTGAGGCTGAGAGCGATCTTAAGCTGCACAATCTCAAGAGCGATTCCACACAGGTCTTCGCAGGATCGCGCAAAACATTTTGCTTTTGAAAGTTTTTAAGAAAGCGACAAATCGCTCACGCTAAAGATAGTGTGGTACTAATCTGGATCAAGCCAGGGTCCTTCTCAGTGCTTACGTTAACAAACATGATTTCATTCATTAAAGGCTCATCACACCTCTCTTTCTCTCAATTTGATCAAAGTTTTGCAAATCCCGAGGAATTCCTTCATCTTCGTTTTCATCACCACAGTGTTAAAAAAAGTTTTGAAAAACTTAGGTCAATGCAATGAATTTGAGGTGCAGAAGAGTAAGTGAGATGCTCTGCCGTTTCATTCAAATGCTCTGGCGTAACTAGCTCGAAGTAGCAATAAGCACAGAAACATGATAGCCGCAGCTGTTTCATTCAGATTTCCTGGTTGCAACTGGCTCCACAGCAGAGACAGACTCAAAAGAAAGCAAAAGGATAATTACAAAATAAAATAATGATATCCGAGGCAACAACCCTGGAATCACCTGATTTCTATACAATGGGACTGACTCGACATAACAAGACAAATCCTTAAGCAAAAAGACTGACTCAAGGCAATGAGATAGACCCAAAACAAAACAAAGAACTGACTCAACACCCAAGCCAGAAATTACAAAACTATATTCGCAAATGCTCCCGACAGTGCGTGCCAAACGCCACATCTGAAATACACCGAGCGCCACCCGCAGGTGGTCCAACCCTTGATCACATACTCGTAGTATCCTCGAAGTCCAACAACTCAGTGGTAACAGACTTTGCTGAGGTGGGTGGGAGGATGACCTCATTGTCGATCAAATCTTGCACTTCGTAGCGAAGGTGGAAACAACTGTCGGTGCTGTGACCGGTTTGCTGATGGTATGCGCAGTACAAGGCAGCATCATGTGTAAGAGGGAGATTCTTCGGGAGAGGTCGAGGTTCGAGGGGTTTAAGATGCCCCTTTTTAGCCAAAATTTGAAATGCCCTAGACAAAGGCATGTAGAAGGCGTGAAAGACACTGCGCCCTCTAGGCAGGTACTTTGAAGTCTGAGGGTTCTTGCTAGACGCACTAGCAAAAGGGTCGGCAGGCACTGTCTTGGCTTTCTGATCTTTTTCTAGTGCAGGGTTGGGAGCGAAAGAAACTGTTCTGGCATGACGGGGCCTATCCCGATTTTCCGCCTGGCTTGAACTGCCCTCGGCTGGAGTGGGGAAAGCATCATCCACAGCTTTAGTCATGACTGCGAATACTTTCTGCTTATTCATTCCCCCGGCTTTCAAAGCCTCGACTGCCCACAGCAATTGTTCAACGGGATCAGCATCTGTTCCCACTTTATTCTTACCTCTAGCCTCAGCCTGATCGAGGGTTTGGGTTGCTATATCAGAGCGGAACCTGGTTGTTGTTGACATGTCATTGTCATAGCTTGGGACAGCCTCAGGCTGGCTGAGCTTGATCACAATTCGTCCTAGTAGCGGGGGCTCTTGTGGTATGAAATTCCTGGCATATGGTGCAGCTGGTGGTGAAGCCGACATTCCATAGGCCAGTTCAGCCACAGATCTCTGGAGGTCGCCGATCATTCCCATCAATTCAAACGTGGTGGGCTCACGAGCTTGAAACAACTGGGGCTCCCAGATCGGGCGCGCGGCGGGCGACCTGGGCGGATGTGGTATTTCGACATTGGGCTCATCCCGCAAGATGGTTCCTCGGTCCAGTGCGACTGCCATAACCACGATTTCTTCTGAACTCTGCGTCATCATAAGTCCGCTGAACTAAACGGTGATGAGGCAACCGGCGATTGACGGACAGATGTCTGCCTTGCCTCAGCGAAGGAGAACACCAAATCTCTGAACTGAAAGGGAAAACAAGCAGCATTTCAGCCCAGACGGAACAGACACAGGCGTAGCTAAATAACTGTACTCTACTACTGATCACTGTTCCCCAAAATCACTGCCCCAAAAAACTGAACCTGATACCCGCAGATATAACCGATTTCCCAAGACACTGATACTGATGCCCTCAGGCCTGGTACTAAACTTGCAAACTAACATGTGCATTCCTGTAGAGATATACTCTAAAAGCACAAAGCAAGTAAATGAGAACCAAAACACCCCTATGTTAGGGTAGGGTTTCCCTGTCCTATTTTGTCAGGAGCTAGGGTTTCACTATCCACGTAGCGGTTTCACACAACCTATAATCGGGTATGCAACCTATCCTAGGTTGGAATGGTCACTACGGATTTTGATATGCACTAGGTCGAATGGTCAAAAATGGTGCCCTAGTAAAACCGGGGTTTGTGTTCCCATACTGGCAGAGCCCGCAACTGTTCAGCCTTATGGCACGCTTCTCAAAGCGAGTCTCCGGCAAACTGCTCAGGAATAACAGATGGCCAACACGGTGTCCTAGGCACACCAATGCATATGCAATGCAAAGAAACACATAAGAGTAGTCAAAACAAGATATCATGAGTTCGAGTCAAGTTCTCTAATTCCCCAACAAAGTCGCCAGAAACTGTAGACGTCCCCGAACGTCCCGAGAGGATGAATCCCGTTTCGTTCCTTTGTGGGCTCGCTACAGTTCGGACTCAAATCGTCACGGTTCTTAATCTGAACCAAAGAGTCCAAATCCGGCAAAT